CTGGCTCCACAGAAACATCTCCTCTCCTCTCCCCTTCTCTCTCCCTCAGGCTGGCCCCACAAAAGCCTCTCCTCTCCCTCAGGCTGGCTCCACAGAAACATCTCCTCTCTCCCTTCTCTCCCTCAGCCTTGCCCCCACAGAAACATCTCCTCTCCTCTCCCCTTCTCTCCCTCAGGCTTGCCCCATAGAAGCCTCTCCTCTCCCTCAGGCTGGCTCCACAGAAACATCTCCTCTCCTCTCCCCTTCTCTCTCCCTCAGCCTTGCCTCATAGAAGCCTCTCCTCTCCCTCAGGCTGGCTCCACAGAAACATCTCCTATCCTCTCCCCTTCTCTCTCCCTCAGGCTGGCCCCACAAAAGCCTCTCCTCTCCCTCAGGCTGGCTCCACAGAAACATCTCCTCTCCCCTTCTCTCCCTCAGCCTTGCCCCCACAGAAACATCTCCTCTCCTCTCCCTTCTCTCCCTCAGGCTTGCCCCATAGAAGCCCTCCTCTCCCTCAGGCTGGCTCCACAGAAACATCTCCTCTCCTCTCCCCTTCTCTCTCCCTCAGCCTTGCCTCATAGAAGCCTCTCCTCTCCCTCAGGCTGGCCCACAAAAGCCTCTCCTCTCCCCTTCTCTCCCTCAGCCTTGCCCCCACAGAAACATCTCCTCTCCTCTCCCCTTCTCTCCCTCAGCCTTGCCTCATAGAAGCCTCTCCTCTCCCTCAGGCTGGCCCCACAAAAGCCTCTCCTCTCCCCTTCTCTTCCTCAGCCTTGCCCCCACAGAAACATCTCCTCTCCTCTCCCCTTCTCTCCCTCAGCCTTGCCCCATAGAAGCCTCTCCTCTCCCTCAGGCTGGCTCCACAGAAACATCTCCTCTCCCCTTCTCTCCCTCAGCCTTGCCCCCACAGAAACATCTCCTCTCCTCTCCCTTCTCTCCCTCAGGCTTGCCCCATAGAAGCCTCTCCTCTCCCTCAGGCTGGCTCCACAGAAACATCTCCTCTCCTCTCCCCTTCTCTCTCCCTCAGGCTGGCCCCACAAAAGCCTCTCCTCTCCCTCAGGCTGGCTCCACAGAAACATCTCCTCTCCCCTTCTCTCCCTCAGCCTTGCCCCCACAGAAACATCTCCTCTCCTCTCCCCTTCTCTCCCTCAGGCTTGCCCCATAGAAGCCTCTCCTCTCCCTCAGGCTGGCTCCACAGAAACATCTCCTCTCCTCTCCCCTTCTCTCTCCCTCAGCCTTGCCTCATAGAAGCCTCTCCTCTCCCTCAGGCTGGCTCCACAGAAACATCTCCTATCCTCTCCCCTTCTCTCTCCCTCAGGCTGGCCCCACAAAAGCCTCTCCTCTCCTCAGGCTGGCTCCACAGAAACATCTCCTCTCCCCTTCTCTCCCTCAGCCTTGCCCCCACAGAAACATCTCCTCTCCTCTCCCCTTCTCTCCCTCAGCTTGCCCCATAGAAGCCTCTCCTCTCCCTCAGGCTGGCTCCACAGAAACATCTCCTCTCCTCTCCCCTTCTCTCTCCCTCAGCCTTGCCTCATAGAAGCCTCTCCTCTCCCTCAGGCTGGCCCACAAAAGCCTCTCCTCTCCCCTTCTCTCCCTCAGCCTTGCCCCCACAGAAACATCTCCTCTCCTCTCCCCTTCTCTCCCTCAGCCTTGCCTCATAGAAGCCTCTCCTCTCCCTCAGGCTGGCCCCACAAAACCTCTCCTCTCCCCTTCTCTTCCTCAGCCTTGCCCCCACAGAAACATCTCCTCTCCTCTCCCCTTCTCTCCCTCAGCCTTGCCCCATAGAGCCTCTCCTCTCCCTCAGGCTGGCTCCACAGAAACATCTCCTCTCCCCTTCTCTCCCTCAGTCTTTCTAGTCCCTTCTCCCCATGAGGCTTTCCCCACAGAAGCCTGCCCTACGCTATCCCATTCTCTCCAGAGTTATTTTCAAGTTGGGAGGGGGAGTAGGACTTCTAACTAATTAGGATCAGAGCGAGTCATAATAATATAGGAAATACTAATGCTCTGATGGTCATTTTGAAAAATCTTTTCTTTGAGAACAGGGTTTCCCCACCTCATACTGGTTGGGGAATGCTGGGAGTTGAAGTCCAGACCTCAAAGTTGCCAAGTTTGAGAAATGCAGTTCTCCACTTCTCTTTGCTACCGTCTTCCCAAACAGCTCTATAAAAAGAAGCCAGGAGGGCCAAAGGAAGGCGCAGAAGCCAAATGCAGGCCTCCATTGTCTGTTCTCCAGACCACAGTTGCCAGAATTAGCAGTGTGAGCTGGCAGCTGGATCCTGAGACACAGAGGTGGACGTCTCAGTCTGCTGGTTTGGGCAGAGAGCCAGATTCTTCATATTTATACGGAGTCTGGCCAGCCTCGAGGTTTAATTCTGCCTGCCAGCTGCTTGCCAACCACGGGGAAAAAAAGTCTCAGTCTTCTCAGAAGGTCGACATTGAGGCTTTTGCCTTGGTCGAATACCTAGGACAGGGTTGGACTTTGGAAGTGTTCCTACTCCATCTATGGTCATGTTATTGGTTCTTCTGGTAGAAATATCTGAGCCGGGAAGACACACAACACAGTTCTCCAATCTATCCACAGATAAGCTACCAAGATACTTTGGGCTGTTTTTGAGCCAGATCTGGAAGATCCTGGGTTATCTAATCCAACATCATCTGGGTGTCACATCCGTTTAGGGATCCTAATCGATAGGGAGAATGATTTCTTGAAGACCATCAAGTCAATTTCAGTGAGGAGACAGGGATAACCGTGAATGAAGAAGCTTCACCAGACTTGATCCCAGGAGGGGAGGTAAATGATTGGTTTAGGTGTAGATCCAGATGACTTTGTGGCCATCATTTGCCATCTGGATGATGTGGTAGCTCAAGATAAGTGGAGGCTTGCCCAATCCATCAACACAAGGAGGAGAAGTTTAGTGTTTGGGGCAACCATGGATGTGGAGCAACTAGGATATGCAAGCTACCTTCTGAACCAGATTGCTCCTTCTTAAGTACCACGGAAGACCCATCTCGCTTGATCTGCTCCAAGCTGGGAACAACTAGACTTCTTAAATTTGGACCACAGCAGCTAAATTCATGCACAGACCCAAATTTCTACATGCACAAACACATCACGTGCAACTGCAAACCTTCCCAAATTCTTCCACCAACAGAACGGAAAGGTTTTTTTTTCTTTTTTAAAAATAAAATAAAATAAATGATGGTTGTGAATTTATAATTTCATCCCTCCAGTTTGATCAGGGAGCCTCATCTGATGTCTATCTAATGTCCTAAAAGCTTTGCGTCCGGAATATTCCCACTTCAGCAGAAAACTGCGCTGCTGGGAGCAACGTTTCACAAGATAGAAACCCAAGATTTTGGCGCTGTTGTGATGGGTGCCTGGAAACCGACATTTTCCCTCCGCCGTCTGTCATCCCTGCTTCCTCTGCTCACTTGCTGCTCGTTCTCACTGCCGGCAATCAAACAGAATCGTAATCAATTCATTGCTAAATGTTTTATGCTGCGGAGGAAAAAGAGCATTGCCTAAATTGAAACGACACACTCGCACGCATAAAACGAACACAAACAAAAGAAGGGCAAGAACGAAAGGCAGGGAGGAAGCATCTGCTGCTTCTCGACTGCCAAGCATTACTTCTCCGTTTATTTATTTATTTTTATTTTTGGCTAAAAACGCAGGCTCCAGATACTGGGAAAGCCCACCGGCCTCTCTCACCAACTCCAACATCTTCAGAAAATAGGGGAAGGGGCTTTGATCATACTTTGGGTCAAGGTTTTGAGGTTTACTGGACTTTGTTGGGCTTGGTCTTCCATTGGCCAACTTACTTGAAGCAACTGTCCCTCAAGAAAGTCTCCTAAACTCATGCATTTGGTGTTCCACTCGTGGTTTAGGTCCATTCCAAGAAGCTGGAGCCACATTTTCCATCCTTTTGGCCCACCCAAACCCTGTCAGTTGACACAAATGGGGCAATCCTTGAAGGCCAGGTTGTATCAAAGCCCTAATCTTCATGCTTGGTCCCCACCATGATCTTTCTCTAGCTCTTCTGCCCCAAATGTCTAGTTTTTCTATCAGCATTGGGTTTCTCATAACCCTTGTCCATTTCAGGTCATGCACCAACTTCTGGATAAATATCAGCTTCTAGTCTGATGTCTCCATGGTTTCCTGGTCAAGTCCACCACTCAGCTGGTCCATCTCCATCTCCTTAGACTTCCGTGACACTTATAGGGGTCAAGGGTCCTAAAAGGAGATGCTTTTTTCTCCTACCCAAAGCAGAATTTCACTCTAGTTATTGAAGAACCAAATCCAACTGAATCCCATCCAATGTTTTCTCCCAGCTAAGTCCAACAAGACTGCTTTAGTGGCTAGATGGTCTCAAAAGTGCTTGCGGTCTACCTGGACCTCAACTGCACCTTTCTCAGTCAATTATCTGGCAAGTTATTTCAAGTATTTCTCTACCTTTAGCAACAAGGGTACCAACCCCTCCAAACATCTGAATAGGTTACCATTTTAATAAAAAGATGCTCCTGATTGAAAGAGGTGATCATCATCATCTCCTCCTCCTCCTCCTCTTCCTCCTCCCTCCCTCTTGATCTACAAATGCTCTTCTTCTTCCTCTCCTCCTCCTCTTCCTCCTCCCTCCCTCTTGATCTACAAATGCTCTTTTCTTCTTTTCTTCCTCTTCCTCTTCTCCTCCTCCTCCTCCTCTTCCTCCTCCCTCCCTCTTGATCTACAAATGCCCTTCTTCTTCTTCTTCTTCTTCTTCTTCTTCTTCTTCTTCTTCTTCTTCTTCTTCTTCTTCTTCTTCTTCTTCTTCTTCTTCCTCCTCCTCCTCCTTCTTCTTCTTCTTCTTCTTCTTCTTCTTCTTCTTCTTCTTCCTCCTCCTCCTCCTCCTCCTCCTCCTCCTCCTCCTCCTCCTCCTCTGCCAAATGGCTTTGCCCTTAACCTTCTGGGCCAGCCAGGAGATGACATCTACATTTTACAAAAAGTTTGGACATCTACCGTTCCTTTCCTCCAAATTCACAAACTGTCAATCATAAAACATTTTAGTTTTATTACAATGTACAAAAGTAAAAAAAGCCCATTTGGATCATCCCACAGGCCAGTTCTGGAGTGAATCTGGTTCTTCAGAATCATGAAAATAGAAGCACATGGGGTGAAAGTTGTGATGATTTTTGAATGAAAATTCCTGAGAATTTTTTTTATTTCCTGAAGTTGCTTGCAAACAGGCCTGCTGAGAGCTACAGCGCCACCTGGTGTCCAGAAAGCGATTTCTCCCTGGGATCGCACCGAAATCCTTGCAGGGAGAGGAACTGAAAGAAATCTTATTTATTGCTGCTTGATCCAAAGTAGGAAGCGAAGTTTTTCTCTTCTTGGAAAAATGAAATGGTACAGTCCTGCCAGGAAAAAAAATGGGAGGGGGGTGCAGCCATGTGCCCCAAATTCTCCTGCAGATAGAGAAAAAGGTATTCCTGGAAAATCTTTGATTCTCAGCTGCTGAAAAGCTTCGTTTGAAGACGCTCAAACTTCACTTGAATTTTTGGCCAATGTTTCAAAAGGCAAAGGGATTGTTGCATTCATATTTTCCCCCCAAGGCTTTGCTCCTCACTATCCAAGCATTTTCTGGGAGATCTCCTTCTGCTTCTATTTTTCTCCCCTCTGTGGGGCAGCCCAAAAACTTATCCCTCCTTAGGAACAAAGTTATCTGAACAGCAAATAGATCCATAGGTGATGAAGCTCTTTTGTTTGCATTCCCCCCCCCGTGGATTCAGTTCTTGGGTTTTGATATTCGGAAAAAGCCAAACTTGTTTTTCTTTTTTTCGTTTTCCTGGGGGCTTCGAGACACACCTGTGGGGAAGAAATAGCTTCTTAAACCATTTATCGGTCATTACGTAAGAGCTGCAGCTAAAGGTGATTAGGGGGCTGGAGGCTAAAACATACGATGAACGGTTGCAGGAACTGGGCATGGCTAGTCTAGGGAAGAGAAGGACCAGGGGAGACAGGATAACAATCTTCCAATATTTGAGGGGCTGCCACAGAGAGGAGGGGATCAACCTATTTTCCAAGGCACCTGAAGGCCAGGCAAGGAATAATGGATGGAAACTCAACAAGGAGAGATTTAACCTAGAAATAAGGAGGAATTTCCTGACAGTGAGAGCAATCAACCAATGGAACAGAAGTTGCCTTCGGAAGTTGTGGGAGTTTCATCACTGGAAGCTTTCAAGAAGAGACTGGACTGCCCCATCCTGCTTGGGCGGGGGGTTGGACTAGATGACCTACAGGGTCCCTTCCAACTCTGTCATTCTATATTCTATTCAGATAGTTCTCGACTTACAATTAGCAACCGTTTGAACTTACAGCAGCCGTGAAAAAAAGGTATGATAAAAGTCGTCTTGACCCAAATGGCTTTGTAAGGTTGAGACTTACCAAACTTTTTGATCATGTCAACGAAAATCTCATCTTCTTCCAGTTCCCTAGAGAAGGAAGCAGAGTAGATAGTCCAACCCCTGGAGCAGTGCTAGCACTCCAGATGTTGAACTAGACATCCCCAAAATCCCTTGGCCAGCGCTGGAGTTCCTTTTAATGTCCACCGGATCTATATTGAGCTCCATACCCAAAATGTCCACTCAAGGGAAGTCACTTCCGAGCAACGACAAGAGCACACTATCTTTCTCAAACCTGCCCCCTTGGTTCAAGGTTTCAAGGCATCAATTCCCCAAAATTTTGCCTTGGAAAAAACAAAAACAAAGCCATTTATGGATTTGGGGGCCCACCCTGAAAAAAGACTGGTGAACCTCAGTGGGCTACGTTCAATCAAAAGCTTCTGAGGGGTGTAATTCTGGATTACGTTCATGGACCATTCAGAGCTGTGGAAAGTCTTGTCTCTAAAGGAGGCTGTTGGTTGCCATCCTGTATTAAATGCTCCTCCTCATTTAAAAGCATCCTACAATCACCAAAAGGATGCTCAATCTTACTTCCTCTGTCAGGCCCCCGAAAACAAGATAGGTGCGCTGAGATTCGTCTAAAGAGTTTCCTTTAAGGTCCCTTACCTACAGACAGAATTTTTGCCAAATTAAAAGAGATTATTTGCATAAAACATGGAATCTAAAACATGGGAGCTATTAAGGAGGAACTGTCTTCACCTTCTTTCTCTCACACAAACTCTCTGAACCAAATTTTTTATTGATTTTTTTTTTTACTGTTCCTCACCCATAGACAAACTACAGCAGATGACTTTCACCATTAAATATGTGTGTGTGTGTGTGTGTGTGTGTGTGTGTGTGTGTGTGTGTGTGTATGCGCTCTGGGAACTATTGAGGAGGAACCGTCTTCATCCCCGTTCTCTCACACAAACGCTCTAAACTTTGCTGTCTCTTGGTCCTCTGGCACGCGGCCTCTCCCTGCTGGGAATCCAGACTACATTCCACTACACTTCCTTCTTCACCCGTTCAAAAAGCAGACCTGAAGACGCTGCTCATTTTACAACACACACACACACACACACACACACACCCAAATAAACGTAAACAAAGCTAGTTAAGAGTTTTAGGAGAAGGAAGAGCCCCGCCCCTGCCGGATGAGCAAACAGCTTCCTTGTACAGTATTCACAGCTTCATCTGCCCAGTGGAACTCATCCTCACAATTAGCAACGCCACCGCAGCCAGAAACTACCGACAATCATCCCTAATTACTCCAAGGCTCTTGCCAAAAAGTCAGACCTGTGACTCCTGTTTGGCAGAAGGAGCTTCTAAAGCCTCTCAGGAGGGCTGTTGACCTTCCCTACGAAAGGCATCAGGCCAGAAAGTTCCTTTTTCAAAGTAGCCACTTCTGAAGAAATGGGGAAATTGCGAAACCGCAGGGCAAGCGATGGCTTCTTTCCGCCCAATTTCCCAACTTTGGTAACTTTAGGACGTGCGGACTTCCAACTCCCGGAATTCCCCAGCCAACCTCGCTGGGAGACCAAGGGCCCTTGTCCCTCTAGTCCTCCTGCCCTCCTCCACCCCTTCGTACCTGAGTCTGTCCTCATCCAGGTTTTCTACAATTTTGTTCCGATTGTTGACCGTGTCCAAGTACGAGTCAAGGAGTTCCTTCTCTCGAGCTTTCTCCTTCGAGGTCTTCAAGTAATCTGGACGGAGTGTGGGGGGGGAAGAACCAGAATGATATGTTTAAAAAAAATAGTAATCCCGACATAAAACGTCGAAAGGCTCTCCCACAAGAGTTGTGTAAGGAACTATAGGTGTCCTTGGGAAGAAGATCCAGGAACTGTTAGGGAAAGGAGGACAGAAGAAGTTCTGAAGTTCTGGACATCATAGTTGGTGGAAGGCAAGCTTGCTTTCTCAATTTTTCCTTCAGGATAATGGGCTTAGAACTGGGATGGGACCTGTATCTCTCTTTCTCCTTCCTCGTTCTCCACCGAGTTTTCTGACATTTTTGCTGTGTTACAAAATAGGTTGAATCATGCCAAGAAGAGAATGGATGGGATACTCACCGGCTTTGCCAATGAGAGTCCGTAGTTCAGTCTCAATATCCCACTGTTTTACTTCCAGTTTCTGCTGGTTTATCCTGCAGGAGAGAAATGGTACTTTAAGGCAGGGGTCTCCAATCTTGGCAACTTTAAGACTTGTGGACTTCAACTCCCAGAATTCCTCAGCCAGCAAAGATTGGAGACCCCTGCTTTAAGGGATCCAGATTCGCACATGAGGCCGGTCCAAAGTTTTGCAGCCTCCTGAACTGATTGCTGGAAGGATTCTACTACATCTTTTTCTTCTTCTTCTTCTCCTCCTTTTTTTAAAAAAAATATTTTTAGTAGAATTTTATCATGCAATAAAAATAATTTCAAAAAAAGAAAGAAAAAAATACAGGGCAGAAGAAAAGAGAACAAATAAGAAAAGAGTTTTAAAAAGTGGGGGAAAAAAGGAAAGAAAATATTCCCATTTCAAAAAACAACTTTCTGTCAAAGAGGAAGGGAGGGGCTAAGAAAGGAAAAGAAAGAGCGAATGTGCTCGTTTAGCGGCCACAAGGGACTGGCAACTTGGTCGTTAAGCGAAATGGTTGCTAAGCAAAACTTTTGACTTTAGCTTTCCTTTTGCTTTGCAGCAATGACCTGCAAAGGTCATAAAAGAGAGGCCTGGTTACAGAGCTACTTTTTTTCACTGTCCTCACTGCAAATGGTCGCTAAATAAGGCAATCGCTAAAGGAGGACTACCTGTAATGAGTAATGATCCCTAGTCATGGTCTGTTGGGTTTAAAAAGGGAGCCCTTTTTAAAAAGAGAGAACAGGTTGCAAAGCTACTTTTTTTCACTGTCCTCACTGCAAATGGTCGCTAAATAAGGCAGTCGCTAAATGAGTGCAAATGGTCGCTAAACAAGGCAGTCACTAAACGAGGACTACCTGTAATGAGTAATGATCTCTAGTCCTGCTCCGTTGGGTTTAAAAAGTGAGCCCAAATCCTATATAGTCGGCAACTGGCTGCCCAGAACCGGCCATGAACCGGCCAGTTTCACTCACTTGTACATCAGCTCGGATTCCCGTCTCATCAAGATCTGCTTCTCGTGGATCAGTTTGAACCACTCCACCATCAGGGCATCTTCGGAATCATCTGTACACAAGACCCCAGGAAAAAGTCAAACGAGGCCTTCTCCATCCCAAAGAACCTCAGACAGACCCTGTGAGGTAGGCCAGGTGGGAAAAGAACCCAGCACCTGCTCCTCTGCAGATGGAAAAATTGCCCAATTTGGAAAACTTCTCTTAATCTTGTTCGCTATTAAAGAAGGAAAAAGCAGAAGCCACGTTTTTCCGCTTTCCAGGCCTCCATGAGGACTAGAAACCTGGATGTTTTCAAACCTCTTTTCAAAAGAAGACTGGAAAAGCAGGACCCCCTCACCTCCCTCGCAAGCCCGCAGCTGTTTCTCCAAGGAAATCCCCTTCTGCTCCAGCTTGTCCAGATCTCTTCCAATCTGCCGGATTTCCTTCTGGATCTCTTCCTCGGGGACGTAATCCGGGTGGAGCTGAAAGACACGGGATTAACCACCCTGAGGCTCACGGCAGAAAGCAAAAGTTTGGCCTCCCGACAATATTGCAAGGTAGGCCGGCAGCTCGTCTGGAATCCAGAGCCTACCTTGGTGGGAGACATCACTTGATCGCTCGGAGGCTTCCAGAAGGTTCCAGGAGAGGACGGCTGGGCTGAAAACAAAGAAGGAAAGATTCACTTGCTGTCCGAGGGCCTCCCAGATGTTGCCGAACTACAATTCCCAGCATCCCTCAGCAATGGCTCTCCTAGCTGGGGCTGATGAGAACTGTAGTTCAGCAATGTCAGATACTCAGTTTGAGAGAAACTGACCGGGCGCAACCACTGTTTTTGACGAGCTCCATTTCTCTGCTTTGGCAGTGGCTGGCTGAGATTCCCATGACACCTTCCCTTTCGACCAACCGCTGGAGATATCCAGATGTGCCACCAACAGCTTCTTCTTCTGGGGTTGAACAGCCAGCGGCGCTATTATGGGAAGAAGGGGAAAAAAAGAGAGAGAAAACCCAACGTATGAGCGTGGACTTGAGTTCAAATTCAGCTTTCAGCTCTCCCGATGGGCGAGATCCTTCTCATGGAGGGCGTGGCCAGGACCGGACAAAGTTACCCCAGATAGGGGCCAAACAGGCAGGCCAAAATAGAAGAAACTGAGCTATCAAGAGTTCTCTCCCCTTCATGAGGACTAGCGCCTTGCTTGAAAGGTTTTGGAAGCCCAAAGGGGAAATAAACCACCAGGATCCCCCAGATCCCGTCAAAGCAGGTCTAGTCATACCAGAATTGGGAATTGCTGGGGAGATGACAGAAAGAGACGGCTTGTGGTCGTTTTGTCCCGGTTTCACCTGTACGTTGATTTCCACCTTGTGAACATCCGAAGGTTTTGGGGAAAGCTTGGCTTCGTCCTGGCGGGGGGGTCTGCAGGAAAGGAGAGAAGCTGATGGCACCGACACCCCCCCCCCCAACCAACCAACATTTTGTGCCCAGGAAGGCAGAATTGGGCAGATCCATACCGGACTTTGCAAATCAAATAGAATCAAAACCGTGTGAAGCCTCCAGAAGTTGTGAATGCTCCAACACTGGAAGTTTTTAAGAAGATGTTGGAAAATATCTTCTTAAAAACTTCTTTCGCCTTCCCTCTTTTTTAGCACTCACTTGACTGGTTTCAGCCTCGATCTCCAGTCTTCCGGGCTCTCCAACTTCTCTTCTGGCCCCCGGACACCTTTCGCTGAATGAGAAACACGCAAAGGAAGGTGAAGCGTAAACCAGCATTCAAGGTTTGCACTCCTCCTCTTCCTCCCAAGTCCCAACCACCACGCGGAGTGATGTGAAATTACGGGGCGGATGTGCAAACATGCTGATACTGCAAAAAAAAGTATACAGCTTACATAACCGAGGTCTTCTTGGTCAATAAACCGAGATTTATTGCTTTCAAAACGGGTAGAATTGGGTTTGAGCGCTGCTTCCATCCATCCCGTCTCACAGCTGGCTGGGGAATTTTGGGAGTTGAAGTCCCCCCATTTTAAAGTCGCCCAGGTTGAGAATCATCGGTTGAAACATTAACTAGGATTTATGGAGAGTCTCAGTTATCCAAGTCATGGTTGTCCCAGTGGTGCTGTTTTTTTCAAGAGGGAAACTGGACTTATCTGGTTTTTCTTTGAAGACCGTTTCGCTTCTCATCCAAAAAGCTTCTTCAACTCCACCATCCAGTCAGAGCTGAAGAAGCTTCTTGGATGAGAAGCGAAATGTCTTCAAAGAAAAACCAGATAAGTCCAGTTTCCCTCTTGAAAAAAAAAAATCTTTGGGACAACCATGACTTGGATAACTGAGAATCTCCATAGACTTCCATTTCTTCCTTCTTTCTTCCCTCTCTCCTTCCTTCCTTCCTTCCTTCCTTCCTTCCCTCCTCCTCCTCCCTCTTTCTCTTTCTCACTTCCTTCGTTCCTTCCCCACCATCCAGTCAGAGCTGAAGAAGCTTCTTGGATGAGCTGGTCACGACCATGAGCTGGAGGACTGAGAAGACATTTTCCTTCCCTTCCCTTCCCTTCCCTTCCCTTCCCTTCCCTTCCCTTCCCTTCCCTTCCCTTCCCTTCCCCTTCCCCTTCCCCTTCCCCTTCCCCTTCCCCTTCCTTCCTTTCCTCTTTTCCTTCTCCTTTCCTTCTTTTCTCCTTTCCTTCTTTTCCCCAAAGTGTTTTTCCCAAGAGGCAAGTTGGACTTTCTGCTTTTTCTTTGAAGACATTTCGCTTCTCGTCCAAGAAGCTTCTTCAGCTCTGACTGGATGGTGGAGGGATGGAGCCAGTCAGAGTTGAAGAAGCTTCTTGGATGAGAAGCGAAACGTCTTCAAAGAAAAACCAGAAAGTCCAATTTGCCTCTTGAAAAAAAAAAAAAGCACGTTTGAGTTATTAACTAAGATTGAAACCATTCAATGGACTCTCTTTGATCAGGGATTTAAATCGTGAGTTGAACCCAACCCATTGCAGGCACAGGGACGGCTGCTTCCTACCTTTAACCACCTTGGTGTCCGATTTACGTCCAGCGTCGGCCGATGTGCTGATGGATCCATCCTTGATATGGTTCTGGGGTTCAGCTCCGACCCCCCGTTTGTGGCTAGGATCCTTGGGGAGACTCACAACCAGATGTGATGTTTCTGCCCCTTTTGGTGTGTCTGCAAAAGCTGGCTTGTTAAAGGGTTTGCTGGTTGGGGGATTCTGGAGTTGAAGACCCCGTGAACCGGAGAGGGCAGGAGAAGATGGGCTGCTGGAAGCAAAGGACGATTATTAGCTTCTTGGCTGAGCGAAGAATAGACAGAATCCTTGCAAAGCATGGGAAGCGAGTTCAAAAACTGCCTTCTTCCAGCATATCAATGTAATAAAGAAATAAAATTATAACCAACAGATCCCATACCAAATCCAATCAGAGTTTTAAATTCGGCCTATGATTTAATTATTTTAATCTGCTTTTAAATTCTATTTTGTACATTGTTTTTATTATGGCTGTTCACCGCCCTGAGTCCTTCGGGAGAAGGGCGGTATATAAATTAAATCAATCAATCAATCAATCAATCAATCAATCCATAAGAGGTAAAGTTGCATTCTTGTCCATTCCAGGGTAGGTTGCCCCCACCCCACCCCACCCCACCAACACCCCTCTTTGCAAATTTAAACCTGCAATTTAAGGAAACCCAGTATGGTCTAATGGTGAAGGCACCAGGTTTAAAAGCAGGAGATGGTGAATTGTAGTCCGCCCTTAACTGAGAAAGCCGGCTGGGTGACTTTGAGCCAATCACCAGGAGATGGTGAGTTCTAGTCTAATCTAGTTCTAGCCGTAGCCAGGAAAGCTGACTGGGTGACTTTAAGCCAGTCACTAGGAGAAGGTGAGTTCTAGTATCGCCTTAGCCATGAAAGCCAGCTGGGTGCCTTGAGCCAATTACCAGGAGACGGTGAGTTCTAGTCCCACCTTATCCGTGAAAGCCACCTAGGTGATATTGGGCCAATCATTCTCTTTCAGCCCAACCCACCTCACAAGGTTGTTGTTATGGGAAAAATAGGAGGAGGAAGGTGTGTTGGATATGTTCGCTGCCTTGAGCTAGTTGTAAAAAATAATCTTAGTAAGTATTTGCTGGTGGAATAGCAAAAGCTCACCTGTTGTATGCCAAAGATCGGGGCATCGCAGCGCCAACCCCTCCCGGCTGGCTGGTCGAGGGCTGCGGTCCTGGTAAGACGCGCTGAAGGATGCTCCGGGCTTCGTCTTTCTTGCTGTCGCTGCTGCTGATGGGGACCTGAGTTCGAGAGAAGGGGGTTTTCTCAGGGACTTGGGCAGGCTGGATAAGAGAGCTGGGATTTCTCGCCGGTTCCAGTTTTCTCGCCGGGAAGCCGGAAGAGCCTGGATCAGCCTGGAAAAACTTCTCCCGAGCCTGCTGGATTCTGGAGCGCACCTCCGTCGAAGAGGAAGCCCCGGGTGGGTCCGGCGTTGGGGCAGGAGGGTGCAACCGAGGGAAATTCGGACTCGTGGAGACCCTGCTGGTTTTAGGACTCCGGGAACTGGACGGTTCCTGAGTGGCTGGCGGTTGGGGAGTCACATTGTTTTGGAAGGTCCTACGTGGTTTGGGCACCGGCGAGGCTGCCTGCGTTGGTTCCAGCCCCTTCCCACAATTCCCTGCAGGGGTTTTGGAAGTGATGGTCTTCTTCTCCGTCCGGCTCTCCTGGGCAGGAAGACCCTGAGGGAGGTCAGCTGCCGCGTGGTGGTTGCAAAGGAAGGTTCCCGGGTTAAGTCCGGCTTTGTAGTTTCCACTCTGTAAAGTGCTGGAGCATTTTTGGCACCTGGAAGCGAAATTTGGGACAAATCGTGACCAACGAAGAGGGGATCAGATCAGTGGTGAAATGCTACCGGTTCGCAGCCCCTGATCAAGTCCTCCAGAGACCCATACCTAAAGCAATTCCTGTGATACAGCTTCCCATCCATCAGGAGGCGTTGCACCAAGTGGACATGAGTTCCGCAGATGGCACAGTTGCTCGGTTGGGCATTGTTCTTCTCGGCTAAGACCCGTCTCTGGGAGGCAGGAGAAAACGGGGATTCAAAAGGAGTCCCCCCCCCCGCTCCATCAAGCCAAAAACCCTCCTCTATTTTTTATTAAGAGATTTCTAAGCAGTTCCCCAAGCATTCTCTGTTCTGATTAGTTTAACATCGCAATTATGACCGGCGGTATCATCCTGCAATCATATCATCACAATTTGCAAGGTTTTTTTTTTTTTTTTTTGCCAATTTCCGATTTAAAAAAAAAAGACCTAAGATACACTCTGTTGATCCATGGAGGTTCTATTCTGAAATATCCAGCTGTCATAAATATACACACACAGAGAGAGAATCAGCCTCCAGGAGAAAAGGACGGTGTTACGTACTTCGGCTGTCGGACAGGTATCCATCCCCAGCCGACGCCCCACCACAGCTGGCTCTGCTTTGGGTTCAAGATGATGAGGTCGCCTGGCTGGTTGCGTTGAACTCGGGGCCTTCGGCTCAGGAACCACTTTTTTCTCGGTCGGCTGCTCACTGGGTTGGGAAGCCGGGCGTTTGATTCCAGCCATCCCTCCAACTGCGGGTAAAGAAACAGAATTGAGATGCCAAGGACATCAAAGCTCAGAGCGGGCATATAAAAGACACATCCAGGGCACAATTGGGTATCTTAGTCCACGAAACTGGTACCAAATGCAGTCTGATTGACCTGCCTTTTATCATCAAGGCTGATGGTTGCTTGCTTGAGATAATCATCTGGGTTTTTTTTTAATCAATATTTCTTCTCCAATTTAAAGAGGCCTTCCTTCCACTCATCCCTCCTTCCATCCCTCTTTGTTTTTCTTCCTTCCCTCTTTTTTCCTTCCTTCCTTCTCTCTTTTTTCCTCCCTCCCTCCCTTCTTTCCTTTTCTCCCCTTCCCTTCCCTTCCTCTCCAACGTTCTCAGCCATTACCACTCCAGTTTTGCTTGGAGGTAACACTGCCTCTACCCATGGAAGCTCCATCTCTAGCTATCCTGGTTGAGAAGGATCATTCCATGGCTTATGTCAAACTAGCTGCATCTTGGGTGTTTTCCTTTGTTGTTGTTGTTCTTGTTTAATCCTTCCTATCCTCTAAAATTTTTCAGAGGCTTCTTAAGAGCCATCCCAGCACGGACAGGACTTCCCATCAGTCCAAAACCTGGAAGGAGGGAGCGAGAAAGAGAGAGAGAGAGAGAGAGAGAGAGAGAGAGAGAGAGAGAGAGAGATACTCACTGGGTGACTTGCCGTGGAAGTAATTGTAATATTGGGAGACGTAAGTGAGGATGCTCAGCCGGTCAGGCACTCTGAGGGCCACCATATCTTCAGCGTCCAACAAAGCTGGGATGCCCAGCTCCTTCTCCGCAACTTGGAAAGCCTGTGAGATGCGAACAGAGAAGTTGAGATGATGTCCCTTCTCTTTAACCGAGCGGAGATCCGTGGCCAAATTATTTTGTAGGACAGCCAAATCCACGCATGACTTGAGGTCCCCAGTCCTGTAATACACCCATACAAAGCAGAACTCCAAGGCAGATGAATCCCTCAAAGAACAGCTTTATTGGATAAATAAATAAAATAAATAACTTTATTGTCATTGTATGTGTATACACAGTATACCCATACAACAAAATTCACTTAACACCCAAAGACCAGGTCCAACACGCATAACAATCCCCAAACACCCTCCCACCCACCACAATTCCCCACCCCTAAACCACCCAAACATCCACACAACAGACCAAGTAATGCTGTCCAACAGCTCACGGATGGTGGCCCTTTAGTTCGTTGTTGAGTGCAATTATAGCTCTGGGATAAAAACTATTCAGAAGACGTGCGCTCCGAGTTTTAATTGTTCTGTATCTTCTGCCAGAAGGCAACAGTCCAAAAAGATGGTAAGCAGGATGGGAAGAGTCTCTGAGAATGTTGTGCAACTTTCTCAAACAGCGAGATGCGAAGATGTCGTCCAGGGCTGGTAGCTGGAGTCTGATGATATTCTGGGCAGTTTTAATGATTCTCTGTAGAGCTTTTTTGTCCGCTACAGAGCTGCTCCCATACCATGCAAGAATGCCGTATGTCAGGACACTCTCAATGGTGCTGCGATAATAGGACAGAAGGAGATGCTGAGATAGATAGATAGCATTCTCAGGAAGTACAGCCTCTTCTGTGCCTTCTTCACAAGCATGTCAGCATTCATAGTCCATGAGAGGTCCTCCGAGATATAAATGATATATCATATTGGCACAGATCTGGTGAAAACCGACTCTGAAGATTCCCGCGGTTTTCACCTAATTAAAAGTAAAAGTTTTTTCCTCAACCCCAATCAATCAGTCAGTCACATGGACCAATCAAGGCTCTGTCTGGTGGCCTGGTGACCTCACTCCTCCTTCCTTGGGTCAGGTGTGAAGAACGACCTTGGTTCCCAAGAGAAAGTATTTTATTTTGGCTACACAACCCCAGCTGTCTCTAATCCCCCCTCCCTATCCCTCAGCTCCGGTGTGGCAACACCGAAGCTCCAAGATGGCTTCAGCCAGGCCAGCTTCAAGGTTGTTGACACCTGGTCTCCTGAGGGAAAACCATCACCCGGGAACAGCCTCCTTCCACCGGAACCCGTTCATGTCCTCTTGGCAGGCTGAAGAAACCAAGAAAGTGTTTTGCAAACTGTTCTCCATCAACTTCACACTTTCTGTCAAGTTCCCACACTTTTGCCAAGAACAGTGGATTGACCCGGCCTGGGAAGGACACCCCAGAAGTCAACCCTGATGTGAAGGAGAGTTTTCACCACAGAGTTAAACACCACCAAACGGGTGGAAGCCTCCATCTACCGGGAGCGAAAGAGAAGCCGGCACGTGCAAATTGAATCCAGCGACCGAGACGACAGTCTGTGAAGTCTTCTAGTCCTCATTAAAAAGGCTCTTTGGTGCGGTCGGAAAAGAATCTCATTTCCAAGCTTGGCTCCAAGGAGTTGAAGGCTGGCCAGGCCACGGAAACTCAACGTGGAGGTCCAGCTCCTTCCCCAGGACATTCCATTCCTCCAGCCCTCGACCCACGCTTGGAGGGTTGGATTCGGCACAGACACTATGGGTGGTCCTTCCTTCTCACAAACACATCTGGGAGCCTTTTCTTCCTCGCAACAATTGGCTTTCCCAGGCACTCCACATCCGAGGATCTCAGGTTTCCAAAGACAGAGTAAGGAAGGGGGACGGAGGGGGATCTGGTTTCCAGACGGAAGAGGGAATGTATTTCAGGAGGCAGCCAGATCGGGACAAGGGAGTCCAACGGACTGGCAAGAGGCCAGGGGTGAAAGGATACATAAATCTGATCTTTGGTTTTCAAGGAGGTTCCTCGGATGATTGGAAATCTGATCTGCTTTACAGGGTTGTGAGGGGCAAAATAAAGGGAGGGGAAAGGACTAAGGTTGACCTGTTGTCCTTGGGACAAGAGCAGAAGGGGATGGAGATGGAGAGACTGGGACACAGAGAGAGAGAGGGAGATGGTGAAGGAGAGAGAGACGGAGAGGGAAATAGGCGATGGAGATGGGAGAAGAATGGAAGATGGTGAGATGGAGACGGGGGATGGAGAACCTGAAGCATAGACTGAGAAAGAAAAATGGAGGGAGGTGGATAGATGGAAATAGAGAGATTAAAAATGGATAGAGAAATAGATTAAGAGATAGATAGACAGATAGATAGATAGATAGATAGATAGATAGATAGATAGATGGATGGATGGATGGATGGATGGACGGACAGACGGAGTGGTGCAGTGGCCGAGAGGTGGAGCTCTCGCCTCACAATCAGGAGGCTGTGAGTTCGATCCTTGGTAGAGGCAGATATTTCTCTCTCTGGGCACAATGAGAATATATCTGCAGAACAAAATTCCTCATTGGCGACAGGAAGGCATCCGGTCAGTAAACACTCTGCTAGCTCCATTCAGTTGCCCAGACTCCACCCCCCACCGCAAGGGATTATGGGGTTGCTAAATGGTGATGATAGGTAGGTAGGTAGGTAGGTAGGTAGGTAGGTAGGTAGGTAGATAGATAGATAGATAGATAGATAGATAGATAGATAGATAGATAGATAGATAGATAGATATGAGAGATGAGAGATAGATTGTCAGATGTAAATGCCTTATTCTCCAATGTGTAAATAATGTATATATGGAACATCAGAGGTTAACTTATTCTTTGGACTTTAATGTATTCATAACTTACCACTCCCATTCCTAGCTCCACCCCTTGTATATATAAGGAGCCACCCTCACCATTCTCGTCGCTTCTACCTTGAATATTCAGTGAATATAGAATGCCTATCATAATTAAAAAGAAATATATTTAAAGCTCTAACTCCTATTATCTTTATTGAGTCTGATCCTGAAAATATTGCAACAAGCTGGTAGCAGAGGATGGTTAATTGACTCAATAAGTAATTAAAAATGTCCAAGAAAGATAGGCCCAACACCAGGGCCTACAGCAAAGAAATAGAAACTGATCAAGAGATGATCAACGAATCCACCAATGCGATTTCGAGAGAATCCGAAGAATACACCACTGAAGAAGAAGAACTAATGAGTGAAAATAATGACCAGAAAGAAATCGAAATAGAAAATAACGAACTCAGGTCAGAGATATTAAAGATACTAAAAAGCCAAAAGAATGATGAAAGTCTCATCGCGGACCTCCAGGAGATGCTGAAGAACAGCGGAGCAGCGAGAGAGAAAAACGTCATTAAAGAAAAACCCAAAGGTCAAAAAATCGTAAGTGAGATGACTACTGAGAAAATAGTTGTTAAAAAGAAAAGATGTGATCCCGCGCGAAATTTTGAATGGCAGCCATCTTGGTTTCAACGAACTTCAAAAGAGAATGGAGCAGAGCCAATCAAAACGCTCAGTTCAAAATTTCTGGCGCGAAAAACACTATCAGACGAAGAAAGTGAGAAAGAAGTCTCAAACTCTTCAGATGATCCAAAATCAGAAAGTGAAGACGATTTAACAAAATCTCAAGTAAAATCAGCAATGAAAACGCTTTTTGCTGCTTTTGGGCCAAGACTGAAAATTACCAAGACATCTACGAAGAAGCAAGAAATCAAACCGGCGACTCAAGACCTGCACGCTCCCATCCTGACTTCGAAAGCGACGACGCCCGAGCCCAGAGAGCCATGCCGATTTCGCCCTACACCACAGACAAAATCGAATACCAACGCACACAAAAAGAAGAAAAGAACCGTCACCACCACCAGAACCCAAAAACCGAGCCAGAGACCGACTCATCTGAGGAGGAGCGGATCGAGAGAGCTGAAAGGGAGAGAACCTTCCACGACGCCACCAAAGAAGAAATGAACAACGCGCATGTGCGAAACTACGTAGACGACCCAGAAGGACTTGAACTGGCCAGAGAACCGCGCAGACTCATTGCAAGCATCCCAATGCCGTTCTGTAATTTCCTGCACTTGAGAGATCACGGACTGCCCCAGGTTGTAAGTAATGGACAGAATAATGTAGGTAACTTACCCAGTGACTTCCCAAAACTTAGAATTGATGGCATTAATTTACAAGAGTGGTATCAACAGCTTCAGGTTATTTTCATGAAAGAAAATTTACTATTCTTTATAACTAGCCCTCCAAGAAGACCTTGGACTTTAAAAATAGATTGTTTACATCATAGAGCATTTTTCATAATAATATCTAGCGTGTCTCCTGCAATGTATCATAGCATCAAACCAAACCTAACTGTATCAGAAATAATTCAATGCATGTTTAATCTATTTCACAGCGATAGCGTAGCTACAACCACAAGAATGTCTAAGGATTTCTTTTCCTCTAGAGTAAAACCAGGGGTTTCTATAAGTGAGCATTTGATAAATCTAAACAAAATAAGAGCTGAGCTACAATTGAGGGGGGAAGTGATTTCAGATCAAACAATGAAAAGTGTTATTATCAATTCACTTGATCCATCATGGGATAGCTTTATGTCACACTTAGATACCATTAATTTGGGATATTTATCCATAGAAAGTCTATCTAACAAATTGATAGCAGAAGACAATTCAAGAAAAAATCGATCCAGTAACCAAACAGACCACAAACCTTTTAGGAAAGTAGTCTTTCAAGATAAACATAATGAGGCCTTTAGATGCTACAATTGTGGATCCAGGGAACATAGTAGAAGAGACTGCCCCAAAGTCTCAAGAGAGAGACATAGACCAGAATATAGGAGCAAATATAATTACAGACAATCTTCCACAGATAGACACAAATATAGAAGCCCACCAAATTACAAAGAAGGTAGAGGGGGTAGAGAAAATTCAAAAGAGAGGAAATCTGGGTCACTGAATGGGCTAAATAAACAAGACAGCACCAGAAACACAGCAGGATGAGAATAACAATTGGCTTATTGATTCTGGTGCAACAAATCACACCACCAACAACAAAAGTATATTATCTTCATTTATAGAAGATAAGTTTGTGATAAAGGTAGCTAATCAAGAAAAGGTTCAAGTACTAGGCAAAGGAAATGTGACCTTGCCTGGTCTAGGGAAAATAGAGGGGGTATTATTAATCCCAGAAATACCTCACAACATACTAAGTGCCATAAAATTAAGCAGAGAATCTGATATCAATATAGTTTTCTCAAAGGGGAAAGCAACTATAGAAAAGAACAAAACAAATGTAGGTACTGTAATGATAAAAGGAGGTCTACCCTATCTGATAACTAAAGAAAGATGTTTACATAACATTGATTCAAATATGGAAGATTGTATTGAAGCAGATGATGAAAATGTCAGTAACAGTGACAATGATGAGTGTAGAATAACTCATGATCACAAAAACACATACAAGGAAAAGAAACCAAAAATAGGTAAACCAATTCATGATGAGTGTGCTCACATCTTACACAGGAAGTTAGGACATGCAAGCTTTCCTGTAGTACAAAAAATGACTGAACACGCAGAAGGTGTCAAAATAAAAAATTGTGAAAATTATTTGGAATGCTCAGTATGTAAGTCCACCAAACTAAAAACCAGTCCCAGACCAAAAAAATCTAACAGATCAACTAACAATATTTTTGATTTGGTACATATGGACTTAGTTGGTCCATTAAGTCCCTCAATTACCTATAGAAAACGTTACTTCCTAACAATAGTGGATGACTACAGCCGATATGGTTTTGTTTACACATTAAAGCACAAGGATGAAACATTTCAGAAATTTAAGGAATTCTACAAACGTATAGAAACACAACATAATATCAGAATAAAGCAAATTATGACAGATAGGGGATGTGAGTTCATGTCTAAAGAATTCTCCCAATGGTTAAAGGATAGAGGAATGTTACATTTCACGTCCAATCCTTTTTCTGCATTTCAAAATGGAGTTGCAGAGAGGAAAAATTCCACACTACAAACCATGATTAGGTGCACATTAGAGGATGCTGGTTTAGGCAAACAATTTTGGTCAGAGGCATTACATTATTCGAATTACACTCAAAATAGAACCTGGTCCAGTATTGTGAATAAGACACCATATGAGGTGATGTACAATAGAAAACCCAAATTATCACACATGCACATATTTGGAGTCACTGCAGACGTACACATACCTAAACAATTGAGGAGAAAGGGAGAAAACGTATCCAGGAGATTAAGATTCATGGGATACGAAACTGGAACCAAAGGGTACAGATTTATTGATAGTAATAACAAATTTATAGTATCCAGAACAGCTGTGTTCCATGAACAGGCCAATTGGTCAAAATTGCACCTTAATGAAATATTTCCTAATAAATGTAAAGATACGATATCTTGCGAGGAAGGAACAACAGAAAATCAAAATATTAACAAAAGTAAGAACAAAACCAAAACTTGGACTAATAGTCAGCATAAAATAAAGACAGACACATTAACAAAAAAGGAAGCTAGATATTTGCATGATAACCATAGCAAGCCTGAAAGAACTATTAGAAACAATAGAAACCAAATACCAAATAAATACAAAGATTACATAATGCATATGAATGGAGAACAAATAACACCTAATACATATGAAGAAGTATTGAAACTTCCACATGAAGAAAGAGAAAAATGGGAACTAGCTATGGAAAAAGAGATGGAAAGTTTACAAGGATTAAATGTATTCACACCTGCGATCGCACCTAAGGATAAAACAATTATAGGTACCAGGTGGATTTATAAAATTAAGAACTTAGAAGGAGGCAATACCTTATACAAGGCTAGACTAGTTGCACAAGGCTATGCACAAAAATATCCAGAAGACTATACTGATACATATTCACCCACAGTGAGAACAGAGAGTGTCAAAACAGCCCTTGTAGTAGCATCTGCACTCAATCTGGACGTATTCCAATATGACATACAGACCGCATACTTACATGCAAAATTAGATAAGGAAATATATGTAAGAGCACCACACAGTCAATACACTAATAAGAACGAAATTTGGTTATTAAATAAGAGTCTGTACGGATTAAAGCAATCCGGCAAAAGATGGTACGATTGCTTGGTAAAAGTACTTAAGACCATGGATTTCAACGCCACCACTGCTGATAACTGTTTCTTTGTAAAAAAGAGTAATGATCATATTGAATTTGTATTAATTTACGTGGACGATATTTTATACATTGGAAAGCATAAAGAGAGCAGGGAAATCTTTGTAAATAAGTTAAATGAACACTTCTCACTGAAATCTCTGGGTAAAGTGAATAAATACCTTGGTGTGCAAATTAACAAAACTAAAAGGGGATTCAAACTTACACAGAAAGATAAAATCATCGAACTCCTAAACAAATGTAACTTAAATAATGCTAAAACCTGTGACACCCCTATGCAAACTGATTTTCTTAGAAACACTGATGAATCTTCCCCTGAGTTTAAAGACAACACATTTTACAGATCAGTTATAGGTTCACTCCTTTATATATCTAATTGGACTAGGCCAGATATTGCATTACCTCTCAATCTATTGTCAAGATATGTTAGTAAACCAACCTTGTATCATTGGGAAGCTGTCAAAAGAATTCTAAGATATCTGAAGGGTACATTAGATTTTTGTTTAATGTTGGAACCCAATAATGACAGAGAACCAAAAATTACTTGTTATGCTGATGCAGATTGGGCTGGTGATACATCATGCAGAAAGAGTACTTCTGGTTATGTTTTCTATTGAATGATTGTCCAGTTTACTGGTATACTGGTAAACAAGAACTAGTAGCCACTTCTACTACAGAAGCGGAATATGTTTGTTTGTCCAAAGCTGCAAATAACCTTGTATGGTTCAATGATCTGATCACTGATGTTTGGAAGAAACCCACCTTACCATTTATTATGCATGAAGACAATAAAGCGGCCATTGAAATATCCAGATCCGATGCAATTGGACAAAGGTCCAGGCATATTGATATAAAGTTTAAGCATGTGAGACAACTGTCTCAAGACGGATTCATTAAAGCAATACATTGCGATACTTCTGAACAATTAGCTGACATATTAACAAAACCCTTACCTTCTAAACAACACAAATATTTAACTTCTAAATTATATGTATTATATTGTCCTGAATCAGAATGTAATTGGTGTTGTGTAACGAACCGGCATTTAGAGGGGGATTTGTCAGATGTAAATGCCTTATTCTCCAATGTGTAAATAATGTATATATGGAACATCAGAGGTTAACTTATTCTTTGGACTTTAATGTATTCATAACTTACCACTCCCATTCCTAGCTCCACCCCTTGTATATATAAGGAGCCACCCTCACCATTCTCGTCGCTTCTACCTTGAATATTCAGTGAATATAGAATGCCTATCATAATTAAAAAGAAATATATTTAAAGCTCTAACTCCTATTATCTTTATTGAGTCTGATCCTGAAAATATTGCAACATAGATAAATAGATAGAAGATAGATAATAGATAGATAGAGATAAATAGATAGATGAGAGATAGATAAATAGATAGATGACAGACGGATAGATAAATAGAAAGATGACAGATAGACAGACAGATAGATAGATGCATCAAGACTCTCTCCCCTTGTAAAACTTGCATTCAAGAATTTAAACTTCCATAAATACGTACCTACATTCATACCACCATATTTCACAATCTTCCCGTCCACTTCAAATTACATTTTTTTATTTATTTGTGGTTTGGGGCCAACCTGGCTGGAGCAAAGCTACGCTGCAGAACCACAAAACGCCAGGCGCACAAGTCTATACGAAGCTAGCATAAGGTAAATCATCAGCCATCATTCCACGTCAACTTGGTCCGACCCCGATCAATAACCAACCCTAGCAGCCACGCTGTTGCCAAAATGGGGTTCAGGATGGCAGCGGCTGTTGGTGCTTTGGGCGGTGCAGACATTGATAAAAAGTCCTCACCCTAGGACAACTTTCCTTCCATGCAAATTGACGGCGCTGGAAATCCTGCCAAACTGGTTTTTCTAGACTCTGCCTTGAACTGAAGGAGAATGTGAGTTCACTTTCAAGATTAATCCACCTGATCTCCCCCTTATTTTTAAGGTTTGACCTCTTCCAGATAGACTTTGGGGTTCCCTCCAGACCTCCAACCTGGAGCCCGTCCATATTCAGGGTATCTCAAGTCCCCTGAATCAGATATTTAACCTCTTCCACCAACGCAGCTCACGAACGCTGCAAACAAACAGAAAAAGGCCCAGGGAAAAATTGAGTAAATCCTACGCAGGGCAAGCAAACTGCTATTTCTTTCTTTCTTTTTTTTTTTTTTAAAGGAAAGTTAATGGTGTTAAGTATTTGTTTTATAATCTGCTTGTTCTGATCAAATCTACTTGAGGTCAAGGCACGCAGGAAAAAGAGACGGGAGGAAAAGCAGCCTCGAGGGAAATGAAGAGGAAGCAAAAGAGAAGGGAAAAACCACCTTACCAGTGCATTGTTCTCAAGGACGTTTTCCTTGTTCAGGGAAGTGAAGTCTCTGAAACAGAAAGAAAAACAAAAGTTATAGAGAAGGAAGTAACAACAGGCCAGGATCCCTTGCTCCACCATGGTGCCGGCCAGGCCAAACTTTCTCCCTACACCTCACAAGCCAGCTTTTCCACCATCAAAGCATGCAGCATATTCTTAATTTTAGGCTGTTTTTCCCTAACATTCTCCTTGAAATCTTCCTTTCCTGGAATTTACATTCCTTATGATGATGGAAGACAAATTCAGTCTACAAAGACGGTTAGGGGACTGGAGGATAAAACATACGATGAATGGTTGCAGGAACTGGGTATGTCTAGTCTAAGGAAGAGAAGGACTAGGAGGGAAATGATAGCAGCCTTCCAATATTTGAGGGGCTACCCCAAAGAAGAGGGGGTCAACCGGGGGGGAAATCCAGCAGGTTCTGACAGGTTCTGGAGAAGTGGTAGCGGAAATTTTGAGTAGTTCGGAGAACCGGCAAATACCACCTCTGGCTGGCCCCAGAGTAGGGTGGGAATGGAGATTTTGTAGTATCCTTCCCCTGGAGTGGGGAGAGATTTTGCAGTATCCTTCCCCTGGAGTGGGGAGGGAATGGAGATTTTGCAGTATCCTTCCCCTGAAGTGGGGTGGGAATGGAGATTTTGCAGTATCCTTCCCCTGGAGTGGGGTAGGAATGGCGATTTTGCAGTATCCTTCCCCTGCCACGCCCACCAAGCCACACCACGCCTACCAAGCCACGTCCACAGAATTGGTAGTAAAAAAAAATTTGGATTTCACCACTGGAGTCAACCTATTCTCCAAAGCACCTGAAGGCAGGACAAGAAGTAACGGATGGAAGAAAAAAATCTAGAATTAAGGAGAAATTTCCTAACTATGAGAACAATGAATCAATGGATCGGTCAGTTGTCTAAACAGTCTTTGTAACCACGTGAAAAAATTTCCTGTAACAGTCGTGATTCAGTTCAGCTATTTCATCCTGCAGGAATCTACCTGCCCTTACACGACTATTTCAAGAAAAAAGATCCAGTGTGAACTTCTAATTAACAATTCCACATGCCTGCTGCAAGTTTCTAAGATCCAGATCTACCTTCTGGAAAATCTCATCCATCCACAAAGAAATCTTATATTCACAGCTGTCTAAAAGGGGTGCTTTTGCAAGCATCCTAAATCTCATCATGCAGGCAGAAACTGAATTGGCTGGCATTCTCCTAGTGTGAATCGAATTATTTAAACCACCTGGAACCAAGAAAACCCGCCTCCTGTGGCATTAAACTCTCCTTGTGTTAATATATAGTTTTGGTTGGACAATACAGGGTGTTTTTTTTTGTTCGTTTGTTTTTTACTGCAACAGCATTCGTGTAAATAAAAATTAAACACAGGCTGTTAAGAGGGCAGAAAACAATTCAACAGAATTTAGACTAAACGCCTGCAGGAGGTTTGAACAGTCACATCTCTTGGGTAACAACCAGGAAGGTACACCCGGAAGACGGGCGAGAAGGAATTGGAGAGAGATGGAATTTCCAGTTTGGGTTTTGGCGATGTAAACAATAAATCTAAGGAAACAGGGAACAAACGTACATATCAATGAAAGAACGTCTTACTGAATTCTTGGGGCTCAGGATTTTACAAGGAGACCCAGTCCAAATGTGAATAATATTCTGATTTTCAAGCGTAGCCATTCAGCCCAGATTCAGGGCACTCCAATACAGAAGGAGTAAGCCAGCTACTCTGTTGAAAGGAGTTGGCCCATCACTACGACCTGGCAATCAGCCAAGTTGGGCCATGAAGCCCTGATTTAAATCTCACATCTGTCAGAAATTCACCAGAAAGAATTTGGAAGATTGAAACCATTGCCCTTTCGGTCTTCTACCAACCTCAGGTTGCTCCAGGTAAGGAAAATCAGGAAAACAAACCCAATATTCTTGAGTTACTTCTTGAGTTACAATATTCTTGAGTTACTTATGTAACTTCCCAACACACAGGAGCTAAATATCAAAAGGTGACACCCCAACATCCAAGAGGTAGAATAGAATAGAATAGAATAGAATAGAATAGAATAGAATAGAATAACAGAGTTGGAAGGGACCTTAGAGGTCTTCTAGTCCAACCCTCTGCCCAGGCAGGAAACCTACACCACTTCAGAAAAATGGTTATCCAACATCTTCTTTAAAACTTCCAGTGTTGGAGCATTCACAACTTCTGGAGGCAAGTTGTTCCACTTATTAATTGTTCTCACTGTCAGGAAATTTCTCCTTAGTTCTAAGTTGCTTCTTTCCTTGATTAGTTTCCACCCACAAAAGATGTTGGCACCACAACATTATCTTCACAACCAAGCCTTCTGTCCACAGGAGCTTTAGCCCAGGAGGTGGTCTGACCTTCAAGTCCAGTGATGCATCGGGCAGACCAGTTGTGGGTTTCAAATTTTTTTACTACCGGTTCTATGGGTGTGGTTTGGTGGGCATGGCAGGGGAAGGTTACTGCAAAATCCCCATTTCCTCCCCATCAGCTGGGACTCGGGAGGCAGAGAATAGATGGGGGCGGGGCCAGTCAGAATTTTTACTACCGGTTCTCCGAACTACTCAACATTTCTGCTACCGGTTCTCCAGAACTGGTCAGAACCTGCTGAAACCCACCTCTGGGGCAGACCCATCGTGTTGAGACCTGAACCGGTTGCTGAAAATATTGCTTCGGTTTGACCCACAAAACTCTCGGGAAGACACGAGGGGAGTGGGCTCCCTCCGGTCTCACTCGCCCCAGACATGACAGCGATGAGATCTTAAGGAGAGGAGGAAGCCCACCCCACTGATCATCTCCATTCCTGCCTCCCCCACCCTCTGCCTCGCCTGCTTCGCTCACAAACGTTGTCACATCTAAATGTAAACAGCCAACAGTTGTCAGGCCTGTTAGCGGAAGACGTCTAAACATCAGCTGGGAGACGCAGAGCGTTCCCATCCCCGACAAACCCTTGTTTGTTTTAAACCCGCCATTCCAAGTGTCATTGCAAACATCTGTTCTGAAATTAATGTTTTTATTTCAAGACAAACAAGAACGAGGGGCTTTCCGGGTATTTTTCATTGAGCTGAGACAGGCAGTGATGGTCTGAAGCGTTAAGGACCGGGTGGCCTCCCAAGGCATGGCCGAGAAGTCAAAAACATCAAGATGGCGCCTGCGATGCCCATAAAAAGTGGGCGGGGCTTGGATCAGACCGTCGTAGCAGCCATGTTGAATTTTTGGATCTCCTTGGAACAACCACAAAATAACCTCGAAGATATGTGAAAATTCATTTTTATTTATTTATTCAATTTCTGTAGCAAGCCACCAAGTGACTCTGGGCATCTTATAATTTTAAAGTTATAAAACAAGTCAAAACCTTTTTTTAAAGAAATGCTGGCTGCCATGCTTGGCTTCCTCTAATTTTCTCCCTTTTCTCCTCTCCACCTTCCCATCTCTGGAAGTTACTTTGCTTTTATTTGGGCTGAAGACGAGCTAGAAAAATTCACCATAACTGAACCCAAAATTATTTAGAAGGTGCCACATTTGATCAACAGGGCAATGGACTTTCTCCAGATCACATCTCGACCCAAATATTACGAATTGCATTTTGAAAAGGACCAGCAAGTTGTCCTGGTTTAGTTTTCTGCCAATTTTCTAACCTTCCAGAAGCTTCATGGGAAATACATTTTATTTATTTATATATTAAATTTCTTTGCTGCCTATCTTCCCACCAGGTGACTCTAACCCATCCCTGCATGCAGAAACTTAGCACATCAAGGGAAAACACTCCATCACAATTCTGCTGGGGATTTAATTTAATTTTAATTGATTCAGGCCCTGCCCAAGCCAGAACCAGAAGTTGGCAGTTGACTTTCTATCTGTCAAAGGTTGTTCTAGATAAGACGCGTTCAACCATATCAACTGTGATTAAATGTTATTTTATGGCGTCCGAGTTTAATGATTTCCCCATTGGGATAAATATTATGTTCTTTCCCCATAGTTAATGTGTGTTTTTGTGTGTTAGGTCTGTTGTTTCTTTTAACTCTCTCTCTTTTTTTCTTACTCCTTTTTTGTATGAAAAAGAAAGAGAAAGAAAGAAAAAGAGAGAGAGAAAAAGGAAGGAAGGAAGGAAGGAAGGAAAGAAAGAAAGGAAGAAAGGAAGGAAGGAAGGAAAGAAAGAAAAACAGAAAAAGAGAAAGAAAGAAAAAGAAAGAGAGAGAGAAAAGAAGGAAGGAACGGAAGGAAGGAAGGAAAGAAAAAAGAGAGAGAAAGAGAGAAAGAAAGAAAGAGAGAAAGAGAAAGGAAGGAAAGGAAAGGAAAGGAAGGAAGGAAGGAAGGAAGGAAGGAAGGAAGGAAGAAAGAAAGAAAGAAAGAAAAAAAGAAAGAAAGAAAGAAAGAAAGAAAGAAAGAAAGAAAGAAAGAAAGAAAGAAAGAAAGAAAGAAGGAAAGAAAGAGAGTAAGTCAGTCTATGGCTCTCTTAAGGAGATACAAACCAGAGATAAGAATGATTGCTTTGTTCCCAGCGGTCTTAGCATTCCATGGGGGATGGTCCTTTCTTCACTGGGGTCAGTCACATGGAAGGAAATGACAAATATGTGTCCAGCCACAGCGAGTTTCCCTGTTGCTCACAAACTCTTGATTCTGTGGTTGCACCGAGAATGACGTCAGACGGGTGAAATTTGGTGGGGAAAATTGGGAAATAAATGACTTTTTTGTCTGGTTCTTACTGCGAAGGGGACACACGTAGAATGTGTAAAGAAATGACAAATACTTGCTAGCCCTTAAACTTATTTTTAAAAAATTATTATTTAGGGGGGGGGGAAATACTATTCCATATAATGGGTGTTATTATACTGGACTTGGTTCTAACTGGGAAAACTCCAAGTTCACCCTGGATTCAAAGGGGATATTTGGATCAAGTAATAATCTGATTGGTCTGTTTTACAAGAGTGGTGTCAGAACAGTTCAGAATCCCCCCCCTCTCTCTCCTCTCTCTCTCTCTATCATCTATATGTCTGTCTGTCTGTCTGTCTCTCTCTCTCATCTCTCCCTCATCTCTCTTTCCCTCATCTCTCTCTCTCTTTCTCATCTCTCTTTCTCTTCTCATCTCTCTCTCTCTCTCATCTATATCTCTGTCTGTCTGTCTGTCTGTCTGTCTGTCTGTCTACCATCTATCCATCCATCCATCCATCCATCCATCTAATACAATCTTATTTTATATATGTATAAAATTCACACATATATGGAGTTCACTACAGGTCAAGTCCGATAGGCCAATCCCAGTCTGCTTTATTAATTAGTTAATTATCTATCTATCTATCTATCTATCTATCTATCTATCTATCTATCTATCCCTCCATCCCTCCATCCCTCCACCCATCTAATACAATCTTATTTTATATATGTATAAAATTCACACATATATGGAGTTCACTACAGGTCAGTTCCGATAGGCCAATCCCAGTCTGCTTTATTAATTAATTAATTAATTATGTTTTCCCCAGAGAAAATGCTGCTGCTGCACATAGCAATGTTCAAAGGTCAGGGATCACATGCGTAAGGAAGCTTTTTATATATATATATATATATCAGAAAAGAGAAATCCATTTGAACATTTAATGGAATTTATATGCTTGTAATAAACTGTTTATGGGACCTGGCTTTTGGTACGTCCTGTAATATTGGAGCAACTCCTTTCATCCTTGGCCATTTCAGAAAGCAAAATAAAGCCAACGCAAACATTGAAGCCACACATAGAAATGCCACCACCCTTTGAGGAAAATGTCAGGGCAAATCTTTTCAATGCATCCTTTTCAAAAATAATAAAGGCGAGATCCAAATAAAATGGAAGAAATGCATACATCCCATGCAAACTCCTTCCTAAGTACACCCTCCACCCCCAAGACGGTTCTTTGGTGCAGCTTTGGGGCATCAAACCACACCTAAACAAACACACACATACACACCCTTTTCTGCAAAGTTTTATCCCAAACTGGGAGCTCCCCCCACATACACACACTTAATTCCGAAGGGTGTGGGATGGGGCGGTGGTTGTACCCTCTGGGAGATGCCCTACAGCCTGGGCATCGGTCCTGCCAAGACAGAGCACGACGGACCAAGGATCTGCAGCTTTTGAGGTTCTAGGGGTAGACTGCCTCGGGAGCTGGAAGCTCCCCTCAACTTCCGCGTGGGAAAAACGAGCGGTCCTCCTCCTCCCCTCCTTCCATGCTTCCCCCACCCCACCCAGGGAGGGGACCACCACCACCCCGGCGTCACTCACATGAGGTCCGGCCTGTGGCGGTGCAGAATGGCGCAAAAGGCCAGCCCGTCCCGGAACGAAGTGGTCATGTTGGTGACGGAGACGTCCTTGTAGCCTTCGCACTGTTGTTTGCACCAGAGTTGCAGGGCTTGGGTGGGCGACATCCTGAATTGCGGAGGGGGGGGGAGGGCGGGGGTGTTGGAGAGCGGGGGAAGGGGTGTGTGTGAAATCGAGCAGGAAAGAGGGATGGGGAAAAAAGCAGGAAGGAGGAGTGGGGAGGGTCGAGCAGGAAAGAGGGATGGAAAGAAAAGCAGGAAGGAGGAGTGGGGAGGGTCGACCAGGAAAGAGGGATGGAAAGAAATTCAGGAAGAAGAAATGGGGAGGGTCAAGCAGGAAAGAGGGATGGAAAGAAATTCAGGAAGGAGGAGTGGGGAGGGTCGAGCAGGAAAGAGGGATGGAAAGAAAAGCAGGAAGGAGGAGTGGGGAGGGTAGAGCAGGAAAAAGGGAAGGGGAGAAAAGCAGGAAGGAGGAGTGGGGAACACGGCAGCCAGAGGCGCCGGGCTGTTCTTTCTGGAGAGGAAAAGGCAGAGTTGGGAAAGAGAGGAGGGGGCTGCGGCCCTTTCCCCGGGTCTCCCCCCCCCTTTTTCAAAAAAAAAAAAAAAAAGGGGAAAGGAAAAAAAAAAAAAGAACAAGAAGAACAAGAACTTTTTCTCCGCGGGCAGCGCGAACTTTACTTTCCGCCGGGATCTTCACGCCTCCTGCAAGTCGCCGCCCCCGCCTCGCCTCGCCTCCCGGCCGGAGGGGCCGCCGCACAGCTGGGAGGCTCCCCCGGCCCAGCCCCGGCCGCCATCCAGCCGGCCAGCGCGCATCTCCCTGGGCAGGAGGATCCCCCGCAGTCCCGAGCAGGAGCACCGAAGCCAGCGGCGTTCAACGGGCGGCCGGAGCGGTGCGGAGCTCTCCAAACGCCCAGCCCGGCGCTGCTGCCCAAGCGGAGCCCCGCAGGCTCCGGATCTGCGGGCCGGCCGAGCCGGGAAGGGAGAGCCGCCAATGGCCGCGGCGGGGCGGGAGCGACCGACCGGGCCCGGCCGAGAAGCGCCGGCTCCGCCTTCCGACGCGGGGAAGGGCGCAGCAGGCAGGCGAGCCGCCTTTGCACGAGCCGGACCCGGCCTGGGTCTCCTGGAGGGCATCCAAACGAGCCCCGGATTCTGAAGCTGGAGGGGGAGCCCGGGGGTGGGGGAAGGGCGGGTCAGACCAGTTTGGCCCAGTTTGCTGGAGCGCAGCTGTAAAAATGGCTTTGCAAGGTCCGGGGGCCAAAAGAGGCCAAGAGGCAGATTGGGGAGTCCCCCCCCCGTCCGCAAAGGGAGCCCCAAAGCAACTTGGCGAGCCCCCCTCCCCTCCCCGAACGGAACACTTCGCAAAAAGGATCCTGGAGCGACTCCAGCCTAGTGGGGAGCTGCTGGTGCTGCTGGTCACTTCCCAGTTAAAAAGATGCATTTAAAAACCCGCGGTTGGGATTCTGCATGAAGTCCTTGCTCTGACCCAGGCCCTTTTGGAGGAGGAGGAGGAGGAGGAGGAGGAGGAGGAGGAAGAGGAGGAGGAGGAGAAGAAGAAGAAGAAGAAGAAGAAGAAGAAGAAGAAGAAGAAGAAGGAAGAAGAAGAAGAAGAAGAAGAAGAAGAAGAAAGAAGAAGAAGAAGAAGAAGAAGAAGAAGAAGAAGAAGAAGAAGAAGAAGAAGAAGATGATGATGATGATTGTGGGGTCTTTGATGCTCTCTCAGAGTTTGGTAGTTTTCTTCCGAACATTTCATGACCCAACTAGGTAACATTATCTGTGCTAGAAGGGAAAGGGGATTGTGAAGAGGAGGAGTAGGAGTTAATTTGGCTTTTGGATCCAAATGCACCCCAATTCTCCTGCAGCTGAGGCCCAAGTAGACACAGGACTTCAGAGGAGGAACAGGGAATTTCTGGAAAGAAAGATTTGGGAAAGTTCATGCAAATATTTATTCATTCATTCATTCATTCATTCAATTTGTATGCTGCCCCTCTCCAAAGACTCAGGGCAGAGTTATTTATTTAGTCACAGTTGCTCTTCTCTTAGTTGCTTGGGGGTAGCTAGCCCTTGGTGGAATGGGTTATTTATTTCACATCCTGCTTTTATTGTTTTTCTGAACTACGCAAAGAAGTGAAGGTATCTAATCCCCTTTCTGCCTCCTCTTCTTTTCTCCACAACAACCCTGTGAAGTGGCTTGGGATGAGCGAGAGAGGCTGGCCCAAAGTCAGGCAGCCAGCTTTCATGTCTAAGGCGGGATTAAGAATTCACCATCTGCAAATTAATTGGCCCAAAGTCACCCAGCTAGCTTTCATGTCTAGGGCAGGATTAGAACTCACGGCCTCCTGGTTTCTAGCCTAACCCGAACCGCTAGACGGAACTGGCTAATATAGACACACGTGTGAAGCACTCGGAAAATGTTTCCTAAAGCAGGGGTCTCCAATCTTGGCAACTTTTAAGCCTGGCAGACTTCAACTCCCAGAATTCCTGCAAAGCTGCAAACTCCCAGAATTCCTGCAAAGCTGCAAACTCCCAGAATTCCTGCAAAACTGGCTGGGGAATTCTGGGAGTTGAAGTCCGCCAGGCTTAAAGTTGCCAAGATTGGAGACCCCTGTCCTAGAAGGTCATGTCAGTTGTTGTGTCTCAATCGCACAAGGAAGCCGTGATTGCACAATGAGTGATCTGGTGTGAACAGGCCTCCGCTGTAAATGCCTCCCATCAAGAACTTTGGGGTGAAAAGTTTTAGCAGAAAGTTCGTTGGCTCAAGCTGAAAATGAATGACCATAAACTGGTGGTTCCTTGCATTCGATGGTCATAAGTGTGAGGACCGTTCTCAAGTGGCTCTTTTTTCAATGCCATTGTAACTTCAAACAGTCACTGAATTAATGGTCGTTGAGAACTATCTGTGCTTATTCTCTGGGAATGCAAAATTTCCCTTTTTTCCATTGAGAGGATTCATGGATTGCCATGAATTTCATGGCAAAAAAAAAAAAAGGGGGCTTCTAGACATGTTAGTTCCCTTCGCCTGCCTGGATACTGATCTTTGCAATCAGCTGTTTTTTATGTAGGATATATTGCTGGCACAGTCCATGTCTTACTATGGGGAGGGAGGGAGGGAGTGGGAGGGGAGAAACAGAAGGAGAGAAAGGGAGAGGGAGAGAGGGGGGGAGGTATGGAGAGAGTGAGAAAGGGAAAGGAGAGAAAAGGAGAGAGAGAAAGGAAGAGAGGGAAAGGGAGGGAGGGAGTGGGGGAGAGAAAGGAGAGAGGGAAGGAGAGGGGGAGAAAGAGGGAGAGAGAAAGGAAGAGGGAGAGAAAGAAAGGGAGGGAGAGAAAGGAAGAGAGGGAAAGGGAGGGAGGGAGGGAGAGGGAGAAAGGGAAAGAAGGAGAGAAAGGGAGAGGGAGAGAGGGGGGAGAGGTATGGAGAGAGTGAGAAAGGGAAAGGAGAGAAAGGGAGAGGGAGAGAGAGAAAGGGAGGGAGGGAGAGGGAGGGAGGGAGTGGGGGAGAGAAGGGAGAGAGGGAAGGAGAGGAGGAGAAAGGGAGAGAGAGAAAGGGAGAGAAAGGGAGGGAGAGAAAAGAAGAGAGGGAAAGGGAGGGAGGGAGAGGGAGGGAGGGAGTGGTGGAGAGAAAGAGGGAGAGAGGGAAGGTGAGGGAGAGAAAGAGGGAGAGAGAATGGCAGAGGGAGATAGAGAAAAGGAGGGAGAGGGGGAGAGAAAGAGGAGAGGGGGGAGAGAGAGGGAGAAAGGGAAAGAAGGAGAGAAAGGGAGAGAAAGGAAGAGAGAGAAAGGAAGAGAGGGAGAAAGAAAGAGGGAGATAGATAGATATGCCCAATATATAAATCAGCCAGCCGGAGTCTCTTGACAGGCGCCGTATAAATTTAATAAATAAAAAATAATTGATGGAGAATAACAAAAAGGGGCTCCTCTCCTCGTTTCTCTCTTAGGTCCATTTCTCTGCTCCCAGCCAAGGAGCCAAGAGCCACACAACGAAGGGGAAAAAAACTCGATTTTTTGCAATTCAGAGAAAATGTCAGAAAAAGCCCAGAAATAGATGGTTGAAGCCCAACCTCGGCTCCTGCCTGGGCTGTGGCAGGCAAAATGACACGAGGGGCCTGTCCCCTCTCCCTTCTGAAAAGCGGCTGACTATAAATTGGGTGGAAAGGATTAATAATACATGCCATATAATATATTCATGATTGTTCTATGGGCATGCTATGGATAATATGCATTAATATATAACCAGCCTTACAAATAATTCACCGTGTTCTCTTCCTTCTAATTACTGGACACCGGGCAGCCTATTTACTTTATGGTCAGGTTTAGGAAAGGCATTTAATGGCTGTTGGGCCCCATCCCAAACTTCCTTCCTTTCCTTCCTCTCTTCCCTTCATTTCTTTTCCTTCCTTCCTTCTTTTCCTCCCTTTCCTTCCTTTCTATTGCTTCCTTTCATACATTTCTTTCTCTGTTCTTCTCTCTCTACCTTCCTCTATTTTTCCTTCTTTTCCTTCCTTTCCTTTTTTCCCTTCCTTCCTTCCTTTTTTGTAAAGCAGCCCCATTATTAATGGATTCCCAAACAGTCCTGGCGCAAACAATGCGGCATGAATATTTGATGGGCCATCCAGAGCCGGCCCATTCATCATTTATAACAGGCTGCAAAAACACGATAAAACATTTATTATGTGTTTATAGATCACTTCATACCAAAGCAAAGTTGTGTTATAAATGCATTATTAATCCTCCACGCCGTTTATAGGAATCTCTTGTAATAAGGATTTACCATATGTTGCTCTACACCAGGGATAATAAATAGGATGTCGGCGGCTGACGGAAAAGAGATGGACGCCCAAGACTTTCTCCTTCTGGCCAAGGGAAGGAAGCCACGGTCACATCTGCCGGCGTTTAGATAAAACCTCAAGAAATCCAGAGAGCTGGGCAGAAGACCTGGGAGGAAAGCTCACCAGAGGTTTTAGCTCAGGACTGGCCTTAACTAATAAAACTTTGTAAGTTTTGGGTTGCTTTAAAAGGCCTGCTCCAGCCTAGTGCTTGGCCCTGGGTTCAAGGCATCTATGCATTCGTGGGAGTCTTCCTCTTTCCCGGCGTTGACTCTACTGCTGTTTGCTGTTGTCCCTTCTCTTCTTCATCTCAGCCTTATAGGTAAAGGTTCCCCTTGAACATACATGCTAGTTGTTCCCGACTCTAGGGGGCGGTGCTCATCTCCGTTTCAAAGCCGAAGAGCCAGCGCTGTCCGAAGACGTCTCCGTGGTCATGTGGCCGGCATGACTCAATGCCAAAGGCGCACAGAACGCTGTTACCTTCCCACCAAAGGTGGTCCCTATTTTTCTACTTGCCTTTTTTAGATGCTTTCGAACTGCTAACTGTTGGCAGGAGCTGGGACAAGTCACGGGAGCTCACCCCGTTACGCGGCACTAGGGATTCGAACCGCTGAACTGCCGACCTTTTGATCGACAAGCTCAGTGTCTTAGCCACTGAGCCACCACGTCCCCTATGCCTTAAAAATATGCGCAAATATTCTCCAGGCACATTCAATGCGAATAAAAGGAGGACATCAGCTCTGGAATAGTTGT